ACTATCAGTGAAGCTCTCTGTAATTTTGTCGATGTGACTGCACCAAGGCTAAGAACCTACTTTTACCTATGTTAAAAACTGAAAATGAGGTTTCAGATTTTAGCATCTAAATAGATTGCCTCCCTTCTCACAGAGACATTGACTACGGTCTCCACCCAAGAACTGCATCCAAATCCCTCTCCCCCTTCCTCCTTCACAGTGGGAGAATGCAGTTTGATCATACTGGGTTGCTGGGATCAAACTGTGTTTTGAATATACCCTGGCCACCTGTGTTTTGGTTTTGGACACTGGCTTGAAAATTACTAAGACGGTGCAAAAAGCACTCACTGAGTAAACCCTAGAAAGAGGAAGCCCTCTTTTGTACGACGGCAGAAAAGAGGTTGCTTTGCAAACTCAATTCCCTTTTCTCTAAGCGTGGGAATACAACTGATGCAAAGCATCCTACGAATGGAAACGAGCTATATTTGATTCCATGCACACTGAAGGCTTGAACTGTGTTTAGCACATCACAGGTCTACGGTTTGAGCGATACTCCCCAGTGTAGCAGGTTTTTTTCCTGCAGACACCAGTTCACATCGGATGGGAGACCGTTTTAAAACCAGCCGCTGTGCTTGCATTGTAAGAACACTTCTCTCCCTCAAGCCACTTGCAGACAAAAGCATGTTTACCACCACCTATCAAAGCACCGGGGGAGAACAACAGCCCCTTGAAGGAAATTAATCCCCGAAAACCTTTTGAAATGTTATAAACAGCTTACTACCAGAATGAACAGATGCACTAAGAAGGATAAACAAGCACTCGGCCCAGACCCTCGGAGGGCATTAGCTGCACACCCACCTTCCATTCAAGTCAGCGGCAGGCGAGTGTTGAGGGCCTGGTGGGTGGTGGCCAAGGGCCGGCTGATGCCGCACAGCCAGCCCAGCCCGGGTATCCAAGCCAGCAGATGCCAGGACCTGTTCAGCCCTAATAGCCCACGTCACCACAGCACCTCACTTACCCTATTGCAGCTGCATCTAGCCACACTTTTTCACAGCGACGGGCTTTTTAAAAGGAGGTGTATGAGACAGAACTTGCAGTGAGCACCCTCAGGTGAGGATGTTACCTGCGGCAGTACGCGCCTTGCCTGCCGTTAGAGGGAAGTGGCTAAGGCATGTTCTTTCAGGAAAAAAAGGCCTGCCTTCCAGTGTCTGCCTCTAACCACGTTTATGTATTGCCCACAAGGCAGTCTATGGGGCAGAGGCTAGCCATAGCTTTCCCCTCCCAGCCAAACAAGCCTCTCCCTCTATAGACCAATGAATATTTAATTGTTCTGTGCAAAATCAAGTAATTTTCTCCAGAAACACTGAACGTTCCCTTCTGCTCCTGAACAACCTGCTCCTGAGTGTAGCACCCCCTCAGATAAAGGGAGAAAATGGAAACAGGTCTCACCCTCCTGGACAAGAGCTCTGTGAGGGTAGGTGAAAGAAGCTGATCCAGAGGACACTCCAGTAATGCCCAAAAAACCAAGGCCAAGCTCACTAGGATTAGTTCTCCCCATTTTGCAGATGCAAGAGAAGTCAGGCATCTCTGTGCAGAGTCCAGGAGTATCCATGAGCAGGTCATGGAGAAGATGCAGGGAAAAAATTAGGCACTTATGGACTGCATCTGAGCACAGGTGTTGAAGATGAGATTTTGCCTACAAGGGACTACAGAGGATGTACGGTGGATCCAGCCTTCAAACTGCACAACAGCCAAACACAGCTACAGGGAGGAAGGTGGCTTCTGAAGGAGTTTCTGGCATGATACACCTTCACTGGTGGGCAGAAAGGCTGCTGAGATGCTCTCCTTGATTTAACTCCCAGGCAGGCGGCTTGTGCTGTGTAATTCTGCAGGGAACAGCCAGGCCTCCAGGGAGTCAGAGTCAGGTGGGGAGGCCTTGACTGATACGCTGAATTAATTCAGCAGCTTTGTTTTGAAGAAATAGAATGGAAGCTATAAAGGAAAGGGCATTTGAATTCTGTCCTTCAGCAGGTACGTTATCAAGTGATCCCAAAGTCTTTCCCAGTTTTAATCTCCAGGATGAAAAGCAGAGCCTGGCCTATGCTCTAGAAAAGGATGAAATCTCTGGAACGAGGTTTTCTGTCAGTATTTTGAAAAAACATCCCTGCGTCTCTGCATTCCGCAGTGTGATGTTTCAGATGTTCCGTGTATTAAAGCACCTGGTTGCTATCAAATATCAAAATTATTAACAAAACACAGTTTAATCCTATGCCCTGTTTTCACGGTCTTTTTTCTTCTGCTCACCATCCACTGACAGTTGCATGAAATGCAAAGTGCCTGCGCTTGAATTACACAAGTGAAGAAATACAGTGAACAATGATTACAAACTTTCCCCCACTTGAAGAACTGAAGAATGACCACAACTACAATGATGCCACTTCAAGAAACATGATTAAAGCGTTGGACTCTGATGTATGGAAAATAAATCAGTTAGATATGCAATTAGAAAACAGGCAGATCGTGAGTCATCGAGAAGGCTGAATGGCTTAACCTTCTCTTCCCTTACCAAGGAGTTTCCACCTTCTCATGCAGAGAGTAAACCACATCACTGTGTTAACAGTAAAAGGAGGATGCATACATTTTTTACTATGAAGTTAAAGTGGTGCTGCTTTTTGCATAAAGCAGCAGCTTGTAAGAAGTAAGCTCCTCGGAAATTACTTTTGGGTTATGTCTCTTGCCATCACGCCGGAGAAACAGAGGCGCTAGAGATGGTAACTGCAATAGAAGTTTGCCAAACTTTCCTTCCACTACGTTGTTACTAGCTATTTATTTATTAATATTTTCTATTAAAAAACCCCATCTAACTTAAAACTGCATTAAGGAGACACCAGATTCTCACAATTAATTTCTGCCTGAAATGTAAACCTGATCTGCAAAAACCTGAAAATCCGCTACTCCTTTACGAGAGCAGAGCTTAGCAGAGGGGCAGCTGACAAGAAGCAAACCCCCAGTTGCACTTCACGTTGTATTTCTTGGATTCATTACGACTTCTTGCTCCTCCAGGATGCATTTGAGGGGCAGGTTTCCTCTGCAGCGTTCTCCTTACTTGGCTAAATATCAGATGGGCAAGAAGGGAATCTCCCCTCACCATCGATAGGAAGCGGCAAGAGCTGCCAAGCCGTCTCACTGTCGAACCATTACATTCAAAGAATGCTGTGAAGTTGCAAAAATGCATCAGAATGCTGTTAGGTTCCAAAACCTCGTCAGATTACATGTTTTTAAAAGAGCAAGTGTAACCTCAGCACAGGAGGCCCTGCTGCTCTCTCCAGCGACGAGCCTGAGAGAGGAGAGCGCTCTGCCTCAGCTTCACGCGTTGGATCGGCAGCCCCTTCCCGGGTCCCGGGTGGCCTCGGCAGGCCCCGGGACGAAACGCCAGGCCCCTGCGGAGGGGGTTTCCTCGCCTCGCCCACGGCCAAGGCCACCCCACCACAGCACCCGGCGCTTCTCCAGAACGGCGGG